ATTGGGACTGACGGCCGTCCTAAACTCCATTCTGTCTCGGCTGATTGTGTTGAATGCGGGACGTTGGGACTGACGGCTGTCCTAAACTCCATTCTGTCTCGGCTGATTGTGTTGAATGCGGGACGTTGGGACTGACGGCTGTCCTAAACTCCCTTCTGTCTCGGCTGATTGTGTTGAATGCGGGACGTTGGGACTGACGGCCGTTCTAAACTCCATTCTGTCTCGGCTGATTGTGTTGAATGCAGGACGTTGGGACTGACGGCCGTCCTAAACTCCATTCTGTCTCGGCTGATTGTGTTGAATGCGGGACGTTGGGACTGACGGCCGTCCTAAACTCAGTATGAAATATGCAAACAAATTATTGGGACACAGCTGACAAACATTCCAAACAATCGTAATTATTAACGAAAGACAATATTTTTCTACATATTTACAAACATACTGTTATGATAAACGTATGTAAAATTAAAAAATACACAAAGAGGTGTAATATTAGGTTTTATTTTAGGCTTAGAAATATTTATTTCACTCAATCCATGCATGGAACTGCCATTTAGCTTCATGGTCCTTCAGCTTGTCTTCGCCTTGGGGGAAAACAACAATAATTATACAAACCGTAAACACATTTTGAAGACTCAAAAATCAGGAAAGAAAACCCAGACAACCATGTTGTACTTGTGTTGAAATACATTTTGTATTTTACGTCAGAATATTGTTTAAAATAAAATATTCAATCCCAGCCAAATCGAGGTCAAAGGGTCAGATTGCGTGCATATAATTATAGAAAGTTAAAACAAAAAGTATTTGAACTTTTGACGGCTGTTCAACATCTATGAAAACCAGAAAGACTATTGTAAGACAATTATTTGTTAGTCCGAAATTTAAATGCAAGCAGACGGGCGGTTATATTTCTGGGTTTGCATGGTTGAAAATAAAGCGGTAATTGTCTGTCGAATTCAACAACTGGTCGCAATAGCCAGCGAAAAAAAACAATTGGAAAGCAGAAGCGGGTGGGAGGTTGGGCAAAATGAGAACTGTATTAGATTCCAAGTAGAGACATGGCTCCTAACACTGTGGTGCCAAATGGAGAGATGGCTCCTAACACTGTGGGGCCAAGTGGAGACATGGCTCCTAACACTGTGGTGCCAAATGGAGAGATGGCTCCTAACACTGTGGGGCCAAGTGGAGACATGGCTCCTAACACTGTGGTGCCAATTGGAGACTTGGCTCTCAACACTGTGGGGCCAAGTGGAGACATGGCTCCTAACACTGTGGGGCCAAGTGGAGACATGGCTCCTAATACTGGTGCCAAGTGGAGACATGGCTCCTAACACTGTGGTGTCAAGTGGAGACATGGCTCCTAACACTGGTGTCAATGGAGACATGGCTCCTAACACTGTGGTGCCAAGTGGAGACATGGCTCCTAACACTGTGGGGCCAAACGGAGAGATGGCTCCTAACACTGTGGGGCCAAGTGGAGACATGGCTCCTAACACTGTGGTGCCAATTGGAGACTTGGCTCTCAACACTGTGGGGCCAAGTGGAGACATGGCTCCTAATACTGGTGCCAAGTGGAGACATGGCTCCTAACACTGTGGTGTCAAGTGGAGACATGGCTCCTAACACTGGTGTCAATGGAGACATGGCTTCTAACACTGTGGTGCCAAGTGGAGACATGGCTCCTAACACTGTGGGGCCAAGTGGAGAGATGGCTCCTAACACTGTGGTGTCAATGGAGACATGGCTCCTAACACTGTGGTGCCAATTGGAGACTTGGCTCTCAACACTGTGGTGCCAAGTGGAGACATGGCTCCTAACACTGTGGTGCCAAGTGGAGACTTGGCTCTCAACACTGTGGGGCCAAGTAGAGACATGGCTCCTAACACTGTGGTGCCAATTGGAGACTTGGCTCTCAACACTGTGGGGCCAAGTAGAGACATGGCTCCTAACACTGTGGTGCCAAGTGGAGACATGGCTCCTAACACTGTGGTGTCAATGGAGACATGGCTCCTAACACTGTGGGGCCAAGTGGAGAGATGGCTCCTAACACTGTGGTGCCAA